TGAGTCATCCTTCTCAGGCGAGTTGATGGCGGTCGAAGTTGACGAGGAACGCCCGTCTTCAGCCAGAGCCGCCTCTTTCGAGGGTGACGCTGGCCGCGAATCAGCCTGCTCGGCAAGGCCCTCTGTATCCTCCTCCAACATTTGCTTGCGAATATGCTGGGTGATGTGGGACTCGGAAAAGGTTCGCTTCGAAGGGGTGGGCAGGTTGTGTATCGGCGTGCCGTACGTCTCGACAGTCTTCATGACTGCGGTCGTGATTTCGTGTCGCGAAGTGTAGGGGAAGCAGACGTTGAGGACAGCCCTGCGGATGGTCAGCGATGTCACATAATGGTCGGCGGGCAGCGCACTTCTTGTTGTGAGCTGTCATTGCAACAGCCTTGTCTACAGCCATTTGTACATCGGGACTGAGGAGCTCGCGCTCTCCCAGCACCCGGATGGATGCGCCGTAACGATCCAGCAAGGCTCCGTGCTCTGCCATTTGTTGCAGCTTCACCTTGGCCATGGACATGAGGGCATCGACTTCATGCTTGGAGCGCTTGAAGTTCTCTATGCTGAATGCGTAGATGGTGACGACCTTGACGCCAGTCTTGTAGCAGACTTCGAGGATCTGAGCTGGTTAGCATGGCTCAAAAACACTGATGACAGTCTCCCATACCCTCGCTAATGATTCAAACCCAAGGTTGTGTCCTTCTACCGTCTCAATGTGGTGGTTGCGCGCAAACCGGCGGTTGCCGTCCATGACGAACGCAACATGTTGCGGGATGGGGCCCTGCTTCAGTGATCCGATAAGGAGCTCTCGTAGCTGTCTGACTGTCCAAGCGACGGGCGGCGAGGTCGCAAACCACTTGTGTATGCGTGAGTCGTGGAGGGAGCCCATGGTGAATATTGTTGAGGTACTTGGCTTAGGGCGTAGGGGCTTCGGAATGTCGAGGGGATGCAACGTCGTGGTTTATGGATGGGTGAGAAGTCGGATGGATGGGACTATGCTACGGGAGTCAGGGTATCATGGTGTAAAAGGATTGATGCCAATGCTAGACGCTACGTATGACTTCAAGGCGCAGCGATGGTCTGGGAGTCGCGTCACTTTGGGGCCCTGCGGCGGTGTGGCTGGGCTGACTGCGTTAGGCGTGGCGCACCCGTCGCTTCCGATTCTCGAATCTCTTTGCCGGCAGCCGACCTTCCGACCATCTTTCTTCTTCTTCACCGACGCAAGCCTCACTTGCCGCGTCATCAACACTGCGCTCATCGCCCAGCTGTAGCATTCCACCCATCTCTCTACTAACATCGCCATGGCTGAACAGCCTCAGAGTAACGTGACGGAGCTCGCCGAGCAGCTCGTTGAAGGCTTTGCAGCTCTGAGTGGAGAATACCAGGTTTTGTTTGATTCACAGAAACAACTCGAAAGCAAGCTCTCGTGGGCTAAGCAACAGGTACGCAATGTCTTTTTACACTCCTTCCTCTTATGATGAACAACTTTAGCTCTAGACCTGAAGCTGCACTCGCAGCTCTGATCGAAAACAATCACAGCTTAGCCTGATCCGGACACCATTCTACATTTCAGCACATGATGTCTTTGACGTACACTGCTGACAATACCCAGTATCTTGACCTTTTGAAACGCTTCTCGCCCAACACGTTGTCGCAAGACCACCTTACCTTCCTGCAAGATCTTGAGCGCGTGGGAGACGAACAACCGCGGACACATGTGAATTTGGTGGAGCAGTTGGCACATAGCGATGATGTAGAGCGCAAGAGCCGAGCACTGGTCATCCAGAAGGCTGAGGAGGCGGCTGTCAAGCTGCACGCCCATGAAAATACTAGCAGTGTAAAAATATGGAGTGGTCCGTCCGCAGACAAATCCGCCTCGTTACCTGAGATACAGACCAATAGAGCCACATCACCCATTGAGAAAGACTTCACTGTTGCTGGAACTCCTAGTAAGCTCGCCTGTCCCTTCGCATCTGGCAGCGGCAGAGGCAGCCCGCTCGCTACCCCACGTAGCTCGACGTCCCGGTTAAGCGCACGTGGCCGAAGATCGAAACGACCCTCCTTTACCGATCCCATTCGAGCCGAAATATGCAGCAACAATCCTGCTGCTTCTGCAACTGCGTCAGTCGCGGCGTCTGGCTCCGCTGCCGTCTGCCCCATACGCTTCCTCGACCAACACAACCCAGAGGATGTGGCCCAATACTTTGAGAAACACAAGCATGAGCTACCGAGAAGCCATGAAGTCTGCATCAAGCGCTTCCAGAGTAACCAGGAGAGCATAGAGCAGCTAGATCGCAAGTATGGCAATCTGGTTAATATGATCCAGGGCCTCGGTCAGAAACATCAGGAGTGGCTCCCTGAGGATCCCGACGACGCCATCGAAGAAGAGCCCGAGGCAGAAGCCCACTTCAGCACCGATGCAAAGGCGGACACCAAAGTTCAAAATTGGGCCTCAGCTGTTTCGGCAAGTCTCAACGATGGCACCCCACCGCCTGAGGAGGAAACAGAAGAAAACACACTGGACGAGTCGAGAAGCGGACACTTTGACCGCCCACTCAAAGAAGTCAGAGTTGGCGAATCTCCAAGTCGGCCTTGGGGTATCTCGATACCTGCCAAATACACCAATGCACACAGCTCGTCCTCGGTTGGCTCAGTACCAACAGCGTCGCCGCAACTACCCCTCGACACTGGCCGGCCAATCGGCGAGACGCCCCAAAAGACTGGCAAATGCCCATTCGATCATCGCGCGATGATGGGACAGACGCCGCAGCAGCCTGAAGTGCCTCAATACACTATGCCACCGCAGTCGCAACCTCGGGCCCCAACCACACATGTTCCACCGACAGAGACTCCACCGCAGCCTCGAGCTCCGGAACCATCACAACCACCGAGAGAGACGGAAAGCCCGAAAATGGTACCGCAGATGGTTTTCAACGGGCCTGTATTCTTGGGCTACCCTCCCGAGCAGTTGGCTATACTATTGCAAAACAGCAATCTGGGTGCGTCACTGCGGTAGACATGGAACACTCACTGTACACGTTCTCATTCGCTGGCTGTGTGCTTGCAGGTATGGTATTGTACTCAGAAGGTAGGCTCGAACAGCTGCTTCTTTCACAACTACGCCTCACCTCGTCTTTTGGTACCGTCGTGCTTTTCGTCATGCGCTCGTCATTGATTACTACACTGTGCCTTCGTCCATCTTTCAAAGCTCCTGCGCGTGGATCTTCTACCTCTCCTGGCCGACCCTATGGCACTCATCTTCCACCTCATACAAGGGAAAAACTGAACACCTAGGAGCCTACGTCGCCGTTAGGCCACTAACTTCGCAAGCTTTTATCTCAATGTAGGCTCTTAGGTGTTCAGTTTTTCCCTTGAATAGGGTGCTTCTGCGATCCGGCTACCGTGCTCATTTCTTCTTCAGATCTGCCATCCACGTCCGTACGCCCTTTGCGCTATCGTGTGCCGCACGAAATACTGCATCGTCGTTAGCTCCTGCATGGCTGAATCACCCAACACCTACGTTGCCGCTCGTTCTCATCTAGGCCTCGCATGAAGTCGGCGCCTTCTCCTAATGCACCACGTGGATTATGAGCCTGATCAGCTATGAGAGCAGCCCGGGCCTTGAATGTCTATACGGGTTAGCATATACCGTTGCATCGACCAAGCACAGAACTCACATCGCTCAGTACCTCAATCATCTCTTCCTCTTCGAAGAGCTCCAAGATTCGTGCGCCGAGATTGTAAAAGTGCGGGGCCAGAGCTCGCAAATCGACGGTCCTTGGGTCAGCTTTGAGGGCGTTCAGGACGCGCGGAGATAAGGCGGACGGAGGGTCGATGGTCACAAGTGAGGATGTATTTAGACTTTGACTGTAGATATTGTGAATACGGAATGTACATATGATTAGAATTTTCATTTACCTCAGTGCAAGCATCTCGCCGAGCCAGAGTGGAAGCTCGACTTTAGACCCCTGCTTCATATCGCCGCTCATGTTGCCCTCGAGATAGCCGAGGCCAGGAACGGTAAGCTCAAAGGTACATGGTACCTTTTGCGCATCCGTCAAGATGGCGTCGACGTCGTAGTAGGAACTCATCTTTTGACAAGCATTCCAGTCAGTATGCAGACACGCAGAGACGAGAACAGAAATGACCATCATTCAGCTGATGCTGCGGTGCGAAAGAAATGCATCAGAGGCCATCCTTGTACGAGGCAACCGACGTGTCGCGTGTCGTGCCACCAGCCTGGTGCATCGGGACGAATATGCAAGGAGATGAAAGCGCAGGCAGAATGGAGGACGAATGCAGCCCTGCGAGTAGGAACGGGGCGGGAAGAGGCAAAAAGAAGGCGGGTCAGAAGATGGTAGAAACGTGTAGCTTACTGCGTGGTCGCCGCTGTGTGTATTGCGCGTCTTTGAGTGCCTGGCGGAGGTCCGATTGTATATAGCGCGTTTCGTCCGAATGTGATGAATCACCGCGCACCTCGCCTTTCAGCAGCGCGTACGAGTCTCTTTGAGATTAAACGAGTGGATTAGTCGTTCTGCAAACGTTCGATCGCGACCGCGACTGTTCCCCCACGATCTCGACGCTGCCGCCGCTCTCTCGCCTAAGGTTGCAGGGTTGGAGCTCCAGACTAGATGTCATCAGGACGAGGCGCCGGATACCCACATGAACCACTGCTCGTCAACCATTGCACCCGACTACATCTCCACCCGCACTCACGCCCAACACCCGGAATCTGCTATACACGGCGCATTTGTGGAGTAAGTAGCGCGCACAGCAATTCACCCGCCCCACGTGCTGCGGCTACTCTGTAGTTCACAGCCCGTGACTACGACTACATCTCAACGACTTGCTGACTGTTTGTGTCTGCAGTCAATCCGTCCCGGCTGCCTTCGACTGTGAATTGCTAGCTGTACATTGATGACTGCGCATTCCCAAGACTCGTCCCTCCACTGCGCCCTAGGCACACGCCTCACGACCCCCCACCACAACCTCGACCACCACCATCCGGCAGCATGGCGGTCAGCGAACGGATATCACAGCTCATGAGCGCCCTCGATACGGGCTCCGGCCCTGATACCTCGCGGGCTACGTCACCAGGCAGCGATTGGCGGCAGCCCAACAGTGGCGTCAACGGAGCAGACGACCGGCGCCGTCCACGGACATTCCCCTACTTCGAATACCTGCCGTACCAGACAGAAGACCAAAGCGATCGCGAAGAGAGCCTCAACACATGCCTGAAGCACCTTTACATTGCCGTTTCGGCCGGCGACTTTGCGCCTGGCGCCGTACATTGGACGCGCGAGATCCGAGGCTGGCTCTCGCTCAAGTTCGACCTCCCCCGCACCACGCGCGTGAAGCTCGTGAAGCTCTACTATGAGCTGGCGCTGGCTCCCGGTCTGGACTACCTGGTCGCGGAGCGCTTCGCTAGCATGTTCATGGTCCTGACGAAGTAAGTGACACACATTAGAGTTTGGATGACGGGTGGAGACTGACACGACGACAGGCGTAAACATTACCTGCGACCCGGCAAAGACCTCATACTCGACTGGCGACCCCTGTATCGAGAGCTGAAGATGTTCGTCCTGCCCTCAGAATCCGGAGGCTCACATCCGCCAAACGTAAAGCGCAATATCCGTACGTTGACCAAGATGTGCACCTTTGCGCAGTCGTACTTCGACCCCAAGGAGATACCGGCTATACTGGAAGAGCTCCTGCCCTTCTTCAGCACATCGTTCAGCGAGAACGCATTTGTGGTTGTCGGTCTATTGAACCTGCTCTTTCCAACCCACCCGGCACCCGAGGACATGCAGCAACTGCTGCCTCAAGAATATCTCCCGACCTTCTTCCATCTATGGTCGCTCGTCAACCGGTCGCGGCTCTTCGATGCGCACTACATTGATACACTTTCGAGGCTGTCTAGGGACAACCTGACCGCGGCGCATGTGCCTTTCTCACAATACGGAGTGTTTACCGGCGAGCAGTCGTCTCAGATCTTCACGGCTATCCTGCGGCTACTGGAAATCCCAGTCGGTCAAGCCACGTCACCATACAGCAATACTGTTGACCTAGGTGCAGGACTTGCTGTGATGCTTGACCGTGACCCGCGGAAGCACCCGTCGACTCACCACATTGCCCGCATTATCGCCATGTCGTTATCGCCTGCATGTGCAGAGCATTCTGACTCTACCCTGACTAAGCTCGAAGGGCTCATCCAGGCTGTGGAGACTTTCTTCCATCCATCCAATTCGGGTAGCTGGACTAGACCTCTGGCGCAGTTTGTCTACTACCTGGCCGACATCTTTGTGCTGCGGTGGAATCGAGAGCACAGCGGGGAGATGGATGTGCCAGAAGAGAGGAAGCTAAACGACGCGGTCAAGAGGCGCTTCGTACTCTGTCTACGAGAGGTCACATTCATGGGCATCTTCTCCAAGAGCGACAAAGCCGTACAATACGCCTTGTCCACCCTACAGAGCCTGGCACACCTCGAGCCCAACTTGATTCTCCCCGGCGCACTACAACGCATCTACCCCGCAATGCAAGGGCTTGTCGAAGTACATCGCACCATCTCGTCAATACGTGCGTTGCACATGCTCTCCAAGGTCATGGCTAAGACAAAGGGCTTCCGGTGTCACGTTACTTCTGTGCTCGGGCTTGCGCTCCCGGGTATCGACGCCAACGACCTGGAAAAGACTGTGCATACTTTGCAATACGTCCAGGGCGTGTGCTACCTCATTCCATTCCAGGACCTCACCAAGGCGCGGAAGGCGTCGGATGAGACAGCTCGAGATGGAGCAACTACACCGGATGATGTTGGCGGTAACACAGGGCTTGCTTTGGAATGGATCACGGCACAAGTCGAGCGATTAGAAAGCGCCAACGGGAACATTGAGATCAACTACGACGAGGAGCTCAGTGACGGGGATGAGGCAATGATCTTACGGTCATCCACGACTGGTCTCAACGAATTCCTGATTACATTCCTTGGTCGCGTGTTCACGCTCCTGGAAAACTTGCCCGATGCGTCTAGGGTCCGCAGTGGCTCTCCTGAAGAGTATGTGGTTAACCAGCTACCAGCCGCTTTCACGCCGCTGCTTGCGGCACTCTCTCCGGAGCTGTACGATGTTGCGCTTGATAAGATTGCGAACTTCATCACAAACCATGTCGTTCACCAAGCCAAAGATGCCATCGCATTCATTTGCAACAGTCTTGTCAAGATCAACCCTGAAAAAGCACTGAAGCGTCTGTTGCCACATCTTCTGGCAGGCATCCGTACTGAGATTGATGAGATTGGCGCTGGATCGACGCGAACAACAGGCGCCGAGGTACTTCCCCGCGATCGTGCTCTTGTTTGGAACCTTTGCATTCTTAGCATGTGTGTTGTCCATGTTGGTGACGCAGTTCTTGAGTGGAAAGACGAGCTCTTCGAGATTGCAGAATACATGCAGCAGAAGTGCCGCGGTACCCCCACCGTGCATGTTTCCAACTTCATTCATCACTTGCTACTTAACCTTACTTGCACCTACACCATCGACTACTCGATCTACGAGCAAGATGAGCTTGCACAAGGCTTGTCGACAGAGTCGTGGGGTAGACAGGTCGATATCAAGAAGCTGAACATCAAGTGGCACACTCCGAGCTCCGACGAGATTGACTTCGCCGTCAAGCTTTTCGAGACTCACGCCAACAACTCGATGAAGGCACTCAAAGCCCTGACGCAACCAGACTCGCCGATAAAGCGCGAAGGCACTGGCAAAGATTGGTCCGACGAGGTTTCTCGAAATCTTGTCCTGCTGCGCTTGATCATCTCCGGTATCTCCGTCTTGTTTGATGTTCGGCATGATCAGGCTGCTGATGGCGCCACCGAGTCTGATGATGGCTCTGACGCTGATGCGATGGACACAGAAGGCATCGATGACGATGCTGGCCTAGGAGAAGCTGAAGATGAAGAGGTCAAGCCTACTTTCCAGTACGAAGCCGGCTACCCTCTGCGTCGTGGCGATGACAACTACAACCTCATTCACGATCTTCGCGAACAGGTTGGCCAGATGCTACACAACGTACATCAATTCTTGATCGAGAAGCAGCCTGACGACGTGCCGTGCTTCAACTCTTTGTACAACGCCTATCGGTCGTGGTTCATCGATGTTGGCATCGAGCGATCTGCCCATGTGCTTGATAGAATTTCTAGGCTGTTAGAGAACGACGAGCGACCTTTCCGGTTCAGTGGATTGCGAAAGCAATACCCACGACCTCTACTGGTTCGCCGTGCAAACGTTTATCATCTGCAGCGTTTACGGCACAACGCTAACCCACGACCCAAGACTGATCTCGACATGATCTTGCTGCTTGATCTCGCCGAATCCAGTATCTCAGTCTACACAGAGATCCGGCGCACTGCACAGACAGCCAATGAGTCAGCCGTTAAGTGCGTGCTGGGTGCTAGGCCTCTTGTCATTCCTCCTCTACTGGATGCTTTCGTCAAGGCTGTTGCCGAGAGTGACTACCCTCGCATTAAGGGTGCGATGTTCACTCTTCTGTTCGGTAGCCTGGCAAAGACCATCAGCCGCGACTGGCGATTTACGCCTAAGCTCATCAAAGCGTTCATCGAGGTTACCGGTGCCGACAAGCCTTCGGTGCAGAAGCTAGCAACTAACGCTACTTTCCAAATCATGGACATGGGTAAGGCAATGGAGCGCATGGTTATCCTCCCGAAGGAGGTTGTGGAAGCGATCGCATACGCTATCGACTCTAGCGAGGGCGATAGTGTACATACCAAAGTCAACAAGCGTCGGGACTATATCAAGAAGAAGCGCGCTCGCATCGAAGGCAAGAAGGCTGAACTGTCCAAGGAGCTTGTCGATATTGCGAAGACCGAGCACTGGAAGAAGGTCAGTCGGACTGCAGCCATCATTGTCAACCTGGGAATGCGTTACGACAGCATTGCCTCTGACGAGATGATCGATCTCGTGGCGAAGGGATCCATCGATCAACATCCTAGTCTTCGAGGCCTTTACGCTGGAGCGCTCATTGGCTTGTACTCCGTTATTCAGACCCGTGCGATCACTGGACATAACTACGAAAAATACTTGCTCAGCGAAGAGGAGCTGCCGGATAAGATCTCGGTACCGACCAAGCCAGAGGATCCAAACTGGACCGAGGAGTACCTCGCTTCGTTTGCGCAGCCAGAAGCCAAGTACTACGTCGACTTTGATTATCCTGGCTGGCTTGTGTGGAACAAGAGCATGACCGCGTTCAAGCCCAATGCGCCCCAGCTATCGTATGATGAGGTCGAGAATGGCGTCCGCCAAAAGATCGCCAAGCATCTTACTCGATCTTGGTTCTCCAACTACTTTGCCTTCATGAAGCAAGAGCCTCGTGACAACAGCGCCGACAGGTTCCGCATGTCAAGCGCGATGGTTTTGACTCACTCATTCGATCTAGTCTTCGGCGGGTTGACCGAGGCGACGTTCGAAGACATCAAGGATTTGACCCAGTCTGTCTACGCTGATGGAAGCGACAAGCATCAGCATCGTGCCACCGCTGAGATCATGGCCGCACTGCTCTCATGCGCCCCAGATCTTAAGGCAGACCAGCGCGAAGCCGTGTGGGAATACGTCTTCCCTATCGTTCGTGGCATCTTCCAAGACGGACTGACACCAGAGAACTCCGGTTACTGGACTACTTTCCTACATGTTGTGTTGCAGTCGAAGGATCCACGCCGAGGATGGCCGCTGGTCGACTGGCTAGCTAGCTTCCGCCTTGACATGGAGTCCAACGCCGCCTTCAAAGAGAGCTCCAAAGTACACTTGCTGACGCAATGTATCTGCGATGCGGGGTGGCACTTCCGTCTAGAGAAGCCGATCTTGGAAGACTTTATGAAGCATCTCGACCATCCGTACAAGGGCGTGCGAGAAGCCATGGGCCAGACCATCGCGAGTATCTTTAGGACACGTTACCACGAATCGTACAAGGATGTCGACACGCTGATGAAGGCGCAAAAGGACGCTTCTTCGATCGGCGAACGCCCTTACCAGCCTACGGAAGAGTTCACTAAAACCATCACCGAGGTCTTTGATCGCCTTGAGGTCTGGCGTGGGGAGCGTCCGGCAGGTCAACAGACACCTTCGTCGTACACGTCAGGTGGTAAGACTGTTCTTCTCTGGCTCGACTCTACGCTCTCCTCGTACGAGTGTACCTCGCTCGTTAGGTTCTTCCCCGATATGTTCATGGAGCAGCTGCTACACATGATGGACATCAAGGAGGACCCTGAATTGCAGTCGCTCGCTTACCACGTCTTCCGCCACCTGCCCAACATCCCGCATCGCCAAGGTGAGGACTCAGACTTCATCTCTGCTCTCATACGCATCGGACGCAACGCGACAAGCTGGCATCAGCGTCTTAGAATCCTCATCAACATCCAAGTGATCTACTTCCGCCGACTCTTCCTCATGAGCGAGGAGCAGCAACAGAGCATGTTTGACTGCGTCTCCGCCATGCTGTCAGACACACAACTCGAAGTACGAATGGGTGCTGCCACCACGCTATCAGGCATGATTCGTTGCTCGCCAATTGCATTCCGCGACCGCCAAGTCTCTACACTCAAGGAACGATTTACCAAGCAGCTCAACAAGAACCCATTGCCAAAGAAGCGCAACCCAGGAACGCCGACAACAGAACAAGGCAAGCTCGTCTTGACACGCCACGCAGCTGTGCTGGGTCTTGGTGCGCTTATCCAAGCTTTCCCGTACCAGAGCCCTCCGCCAGCCTGGTTGCCCGACGTACTTGCGACGCTGGCTAGGAAGGCTGCGGCTGATCCTGGCATGGTTGGCAAGAGTGTCAAGACTGTTCTGGCAGACTTCAAAAAGACTAGGCAGGATACTTGGCATGTTGATGTCAAGGTAAGTTTTCTACTCTGATATGATTATGAACTGTGCTAACCTCTACTCAGGCGTTCGAACAAGAGCAACTGGAGGACTTGGAGGGTGTGCTGTGGAAGAGCTACTTTGCTTAAACGACAGCTATGCGGCGAATGGGATATTACGAACGACGCTCGATGATACCATAAGCGACGGACATGTACAATAAGTTAGATCGGACGGGTCATGACTACGAGCGATATGAACAGGCTCTGCATCAGTGGCGCCTAGTGGAAATAGCATTTTCTAGATAGTCTCTTGCTTACACAATGAACCTTTTTGCTCAGCATGCTTACTCAGTTGCGACCGGACGCGCGCTCCTTCCTGCTTAAAGCCGCTTGCCCCTCCCCCGCTCCGCTGTACCTGCGCCTGCACATGTGACATCATACCCTGGACCTTCCGACCATCAACAATAAAATCACCGCTTGCTGCGCGACGCATAAACAGCACTGGTTTTCCGACACTGGCCCATCAGCGAATCTACAATGCCATTGACTGTACTTACTGACGCGGACGTGCGCACTCTCTTGTTGCAATTGACCAAACAAGACATTCTCGACTTGCAGCAGAACCTCGCTGATGCGCTGCACCATTATTCTACCAGCACGGAAGAAGACGACAATAATGGATGTTGTGAGACTTTTCAGTCTGCAGGCACGAGTGTGAAGACTAAAGATGGAGGGATGATGACGGTTGCGCCGGCAAGCAGGTATGTATAGTTCTTGCAAATACACATGCATGACAATCGCATCGACTGACTATTCGCAGCAACGATGGTCTCGGAGTCAGAATAACGACACGTCCAGAGTCCAACTCTTTGGACACAGCCTCTGTTACTTCATCGATGAGCTCACTCGCTCTATCTCAACAGTCGACACCAACGAGTAAAAGCTCAGCAACCACAGCCTCTCTCGCTTCAACCCAAACATCGGCATCAAATACTAGTCTCACTCTCTTCGACCGCTCCGGAAACCCTCGCGCCATGCTAAACTCCTCCGAAATGACAGCCTTCCGCACCGCTCTCGCAAGCGCAATGCTCTTTAAGAAACGAGCAAACGTTCACGACGTGACAGTCTTTGGCGCAGGAAAACAAGCGTACTGGCACATTCGTCTTGCCCTCCTGCTACGCGGACCGGATATCCATCATCTCAATATCATAAATCGGGATTTTGAACGTGTGCACCAATTATTGGAGAAACTATACGATCCCGACTCCGCTCCTTCAACTTTCAACCCCGATCCAAACCACGTACCCACCTACCGCCGCGCATCAGGCTCAGAGGAAGGCTCAACAGGAAAAGAAACCCAACACCAATACCTCCATCGCCCTAAAATACAAATTCTCACCCCAGGCCACGGCGAATACCCCCGCCTCCTACATGCCACCCTCCGCTCCTCATCCGTCCTATTCCTCTGCACCGCCTCTCCCACGCCCCTCTTCCCCGCGCCCATCCTAACGAACCCCGAAGGACGAAAGAAAGGCCGCTACATAGCTGCCATCGGTTCGCTCTCACCACTCGCCACAGAACTACACCCAGACATCCTACGACAAAACGTCGCGCCCGAGCACGGGCACCGCCATTTCCACAAGCACGCAAAGCAGAGCGGGGCGGTGGTGGTGGATAGTGTTGAGAAGGCGTTGAAAGAGGGTGGGGAGGTGGTGCAGGCGGGGTTAGGTCCGGATCAGGTTGTTGAAATTGGGGAGTTGGTTATGTTGAAGAGGGATGCGGATAGGAGGAGGCGGGAGTGCTTGGCTGGGAAAGGGTTGATGGAGGCGGAGGGACTGGATACGGGGGGTGTGGAGTTGGGCGAGTGCGAGATGAATCGGAGGGAGAAGACGGAGAAGGCGAGGAGAGGGAGTAGTGGGAAGAAGGAGAAACATCATGAAGGAGAGGACAAGGCGCATAAGAGCTTGATTGAGTGGTTGGTCAAGGGGAATGTGATTTATAAGAGTGTGGGACTGGGTCTTACGGACGTCGTGGTGGGCGGTGACCTTGTTCGCATAGCGAATGAGCGCAGTATCGGCACGAGGATCGATAACTTCTAGGGTGGGTTGTCGCATCCATCGGAACTGGAAGTGGGATCACAGCAGTTCGCCTCCTGCGAGTGCAGCTGAGGCAGTAATCATAGTTCAGCATACATAATCAGAGCATAATCACAAGCAACAAATCATGCGAATGGCGTGCGTTATCGTGATTGATTCCAGTCAATGCAGTCGTTTGCCGACCGCTTTTAACCCTCCTAAACTCCGTTGGTATTGTGAACCGACTATATGCAGAGATAAGAGACACGCCGTAAAGTCATCATGAAATCGAGAAAGCACATCAGAACCCGCTTAGATCTTGATAGCGCTCTCGATGGCCTTCCTCTTCTTCTCCATGCGGGCGTTGGCCTTGGCACCCATGATACCACCTCCCCAGTGGCGGGCAGCGTCCTTGTGGTGCGACTCGAGGTAACCGTCGTTGACAGCAGTGATGAGCTTCTGGAGCTCGTTCTTGTCCTCAGAGCGGACCTCAGTGAGGGCGAGGACGGCGGCGGTCTTCTGGTGGACGACCGTTCCGAGACGGGCCTTGCCCTTGACGATAACGTAAGGGACACCTGATTAATATCAGTAAAGGTTCCATATGCGTTTGCGCAGTTGGAGTACTCACCCATCTTCCTGCAGAGAGCGGGCAGGTAGACAACGAGCTCGATGGGGTCTACGTCGTTGGCGATCAGGACGAGGGAAGCCTTCTTGTTCTCAATCAGGCCAACAACGTGGTTGAGACCGTACTTGGCGACGTAGGGCTTCTTGCTGACGTCCTCCTTCTTCTTTCCCTCAGCGACGGCGGTGGCCTCCTTGGTGAGGCGCTCCTTCTTCTCGGCCTTGGTCTCGGGACGGTACTTGTTGAGGATCTTGAAAGCCTGGGTGGCAAGGTTGCGGTCGGCAACGTGCTGGAACTGGGCAATCGCCGGTGGGACCTTCAAGCGCATGTTGAGGATCTTCTTCTGGCGTTGAAGACGGACATACGCGCTGCACATCATCAGTATCTGCAATCTGCGGCGGATTGGGGGTTGCTTACGGCCAGCGGACCATGCGGCCGACGTTGCGCTGGGGCTGGATATCCTGACCGATGCCATAGTTGCGAGGACGCTTCTCGATGAGAGGGTTCTGTTCCATTGTGAGCGATTGTGGTTGAATGTTTGGGGAATGGGCAGACCTTTTGCTTCTTGGCGGCAGACGACTTAGAAGTGGCCTGGGGGAAAGCCGCAGGCTTCTTTCCGGATCCTTTGGGAGGCATTGTCGAGGCTGTCATAGAGAACAGAAACCATTAGCGAATGTTCATTCACTATAGGTCTGAATCTCGTAAGAGCGAGAGGGCCTTTCAGCCGCTCTCCACTCTAGCCATCATTTGTATGCGACACGCTCATGTAGAGACGTGCGATTGTGATATGCTACCGAGCATTCATGGCGGATATGCGCTTACCTGGTGTGTTGGCGGCGACGAAGTAAAGATTGGCGACGGTGGACTTGACGAACGTTCGAAAGCGGGCGCAAAAGTTGTCGGCACCGAAATCCAGAGAAGCGAGTGCGCGCGGGTGGGGAAGAACGTTTCGCCGGCGCTAGCGCCTGCCCGATGGTAGCGTGGTGCCTCACCATCCATCATCGACCGCGACAACTTCAATGCGAGACCATGAACGCGATTAATCTCGGCGCGAAAGGACGTAACGCGCAGCTCATCGCCATATTCTGCCTATGGAAAGCGCTGCTCCTCTCGCTCGCTGCATTCTGCCCAGGTCCCGGATACGACACCTCTGGTCTCATACTGCTCGACACGAGCGCCCGGCGTCATGTTGAGCTGGATTTCACCTCCCGCTATGAGCGTTTGGTCCTCAATCTGCTCCGCTGGGACGCATTGTACTTTGTGAAAGCAGCTGAGCGGGGTCATGTCCACGAGCAAGCGTGGGCCTTCAGCGGGGCGTATTCGTATCTCCTGAGACTAACCGGTCAATGTGAGCACCAGAGGCCCAGTCATTTGGGTCGGCACTGATATCTCGCAGTGATGGCTGGCGATGCGCAGGCTCCTCTGCACTACTATGCTCTGGCCGGAGTCATTATTTCCAACATCTGCCACCTCCTCTCTGTGCTAGTGCTGTATCGCCTATTGACCTTGGTCCTGGAACCTCAACGGCGACAGTCCATCCCATTCATCGCCGCTGTCTTGCATATCCTGACGCCAGCTTCTCTTTTTATGAGTGCACCGTATGCCGAAGCCATGTTCTCATTGCTCAATTTCACAGGCATGCTCCTCTATGCTCAATCTCAAACTGCGGCTGAGACTGCAATGTCATGGGTTCGAGCGGACTTTCAAAAGATTGGCTCTGGTGCTTTTTTCGCAGCAGCTACACTAATGCGAAGCAACGGTCTACTCAGCGGCCTAATCCTCCTATACGATGTCGCTAAGTACATGCCCTCTCTGATGTCTGCGCAGTTGCGTATACCAGATGTAAGAAGGATGCTTGTCACATGCGTGGCTGGTGGTCTGATAGCCTTGGCATTTTTCGGGCCGCAGTATCTGGCATACACGGAATTCTGCGACCGAGGCAGCGGCACTGGAACTAGACCATGGTGTGACAAGACCTTCCCGAGCATTTATTCGTGGGTACAAAGCCATTACTGGTAAGTTACCCCAATACGATGACTTACTAGTCTGACCTCTTCCAGGAACGTAGGACTCTTCCGTTACTGGACCATCTCAAATCTGCCTCTGTTCATACTAGCGGCACCAGTTTCGTGGCTGCTCCTCACATCAAGTGTCACCATTCTCCGCAGCGGTGTCCCACGCCCGTTGCGTGGGCGTCCTGTACCCCAGACTGGTGAAACAGCCAAATCCAGGAACGGAACCTCCGCGATATGCAAGCTACCGGAATTGGCACTTCCCCAATTACTACTGGCTGCAACAGCCGTTACCAGTTTTCACGTCCAGATTGTGAATCGGATTGCTTCCGGCTATCCGATGTGGTATCTAGTCGTCGCTACGTGGTTGGCTGATTCACAAAGTACTCGCTCGACAGCAAACCGTTCACGAACAGCCAAGTGGTGTATCAGAGGTAGCATCATGTATTGCTTGATACAGGGAATGCTTTTTGCTAACTTCCTCCCACCGGCTTGAATCTTAGGCCGCGCAAGCACTGTCGTACCCACAAAGTGGTGGCGTAAGCTCTACAACCTAGCTCTTCGATTCGGACGCCCAGACAGACTGTACGACGTAGCTTATTACTAGTAAAACGCCATGATCAGATTCCTGAACTCCAATACGAATGTTTCGCAATTACCATGCCACTCGGTACATCTAGACGGTTACTTAATCCTCCGGGCGAGTTGGTGCTAAACCTAGGAATAGCTCAGAAGCATATACCTTACCGAGTTAAGACCTATGTCTTACATGTGAATTTTGGTACTGCGGCAGAAGCTGAGCGATCAGCTACGAGGTCGTCATGATGCCAAGTACCCCACAGTCTCACTACTAGTGTTGCTGCTCTAATGCCCCAGCCATCGCAAGTGTTAAGACATGCACCCTACAACGGAACTTGGAGATGATAGATGAACGTCGCATAGAGCGGCTGACCTGTCTTTCTAGCCTATCATGGAGAGCTGGTCTGACGACTTTGTATCTGCATGCGCTACTGACGCCAACCTACCGATGGAAGCCTAGATCATGGTATAAAAGTTGGCGATGCGACAATATGGCGAGATGCTGTGCCAGCATACTACTACAGTTCCAGTCCAGTTGTTTACAAAAACGTCATGATATCGAACCCCTCTGCAAGATGCGACACATTGGGCGAGGCAGAACATTGCATTATCCACTGCTTCCCTACACATGACCGACAGCGTTGCAATGTCACTGTTTTCGCGACGGAAAATGACTTCCTGAACACCAACGCGCCATTTCAGGACACTGATCAATGCCCTAGTTTCTGAGTCAGAAGCCTTCTGCTTGAGAATGATGACCACCGTCAAGTCTCACAGCGACGCCACCTACACCAACCAGAATGTCGGAGCGAAGATGAGGGTCTCTCCGAAAGACAGAAGGAAGGCTTGGTCACGCCAGCTTTGTCACTAGTCTTTGGCATAGTGAGGGGGACTTATAAAGGTTGCTTCAGGCTCCTTTGGTTGGTAGCCGTGCTCATCAGCTTAGTCCGACCTACACTCGTTACTAGAAAACGATGAAGCTTTCTACCTTCGCTACCTTCCTCAGCCTGTCCGTGGCTTTGGCAGCCGTACTCGACACTAGACAGCAATGCAATGAGGATGACTGCTTCCGCGCAGTTTTCGGCAGCGGCGGATTCGGTCAGATAATCAGGGCTGGAGAAGACTGCGATGACTTCCTTACTACAAGTGTCATCTGGTACCCAATGTTTGTATCCCAATCAGGATGTCTATCGAACACACTAACAGTCTACTCCAGCACCACTATCACGTCCTTTACTCTTACGACATCTACTCTGACAACACCATGCCCTTCGGAGGTATTGCCCGTTCCGACGGAAGTGCCCGTTACTACCGACGAAGAAAAGTTGTGGATTCGACAAGCACTGCCAACCGGAACTAACTGGTCCACGACCACCGTCTTTGGACCAGTGCCTACATACGCCACCCAAGCCTGTGCCTCGCAAGAATACAGTTCTGTATGCGGATGTGCGAGCATCACAAAAGATACTATCACCTATCTTAGCACCGTAAGTTTTATGTCAGTGTGCGATGGGTAATGGCTGATCATGTTCTAGACTGTGACAGATATTGAGACTACAACGTATACCAGCGTCACGATCACTGGGACGTCCTGCCCAACCATCATACCATCGTCTTCGATGAGCTCTTCAACTTCGAGCATGGTTACCTCGTCTTCGGTGTCCAGTAGTTTTTCTAGCAGCACTATCTCAAGTACATCGTCATCCACGAGCACGGATAGTTTCTCAAGCTCAGCTACAGCGTCATCCAGCACAGGAAGTTCTTCGGCATCGTTGACTGAGTCTAGTAGCTCGTCAAGCACACCGATTGTATCCAGTTCCTCCAGCTCGTCATCTACAACACCTATTAGCTCGTCTGCTAGCTCAAGCAGCTCATCTAGCAGCTTGTCCAGTAGTTCGAGCAAATCATCATCTACCACGAGCGACGTATCCAGCACGAGCTCGAGTAGCTCATCTAGTACTTCGACTGAGCCCTCTGCCACTTCAAGCACCTCGTCCACGGTATCAAGCAGCTCCTCGACTTCCTCGGGAGAAGTCCCTGCCACAAGCAGCATGTCAAGCTCTTCCATGCCTTCATCATCCACCATGACACCAAGCTCATCGCCAGGTACTACGTCATCCGAAAGCTCTTCCAGCAGCTCTTCATCAAGCACATCGGACATATCGAGCTCCTCCAGCAGTGTCTCGATAAGCTCAACTAGTAGTACTGAATCCTCATCTTCAAGCAGTGCAACACCTACCTCTAGCGACTCAAGTTCATCTGCAAGTAGTAGTTCGTCATCTTCAACGAGTAGCACAGACTCCTCGTCGTCATTGTCATCAACCACTACTCTAACTCCGACCTCCAGTGCTTCGAGCACATCGGCTAGCAGTTCATCGCCTTCCTCTTCAGCGAGCAGCACCGACTCGTCGTCTTCGCTGTCATCGTCCACTATCATAGACCCGACGACCTCTAGTGCTTCAAGCACGTCTGTCAGCAGTTCTTCGTCAATCTCATTCAGCACCACAGACTCGTCCTCCTCGCTGTCAACAATTACAATCACAGCCTCAACCTCCAGTGATTCGAGCACGTCTACTAGCAGTCTGTCGTCCTCGTCGTCATCTTCTTCGTTGTCATTCAGCACTACACCGATTTCCTCAACCACCGATGCATCGTCGACTACATCCACAACGAGCGCAACACCCAGCCCACCCGTGTGTGGAGGCTTTGGCGTTGGTCTCTGCGACGGCGCCTGCCGCGACCTCGCGACTGACGTTCTTCACTGTGGCCGCTGCAACAACGCGTGTGTCGCGGGCAACCTCTGCAACAACGGAGTGTGCGCGTCTCGTGCATGCGACTCCAACTGCGAATTTGACCGCCTGTGCAACAGAAACGGAACTTCGTCATGCCGGTGCGCAAGGACCATGGATGGCGCTGGTGTCTGTTACGACAAGGATGCGACAAACTGTTCTGACCCAGGTATCCTTCAATGCAGGACCTCAGCCAGCTGCCCGATCGGCACAGTTTGCATGCCTAACGTCTGCGACTGCGCAGATACTACCAAGGGCATCTGCGTTGGCACCACTGGGTGTGGGGACGAAGGATTGTCTGTCATGGGCGGGTTGATCCGAATCGGAGAGATGGAGAAGCGCAGAAGGACCGTCAGAGGGGTGGCGAACCAACTCTAAGGATGGGACGAAAGCATGGTGGTAGCATACGCAGGGAAAAGGGCGGCATCGTGGTTTGTTGTGATTTGGGAATAGTTGGGTGCCTGCCAATGTGCTAGTGGGCGTTGTACAATGGTCTTCACAACACAATATACATCCTTCGCTTCTATACCTACACCGGCAACGGCATCCCGTGTTGTGAATAGCGGTTGGCGTCAGTGCGACATTAAGCTCGCGGTGCATAAAGGCAATTTTTTGTTGTCAAGTGACGCTGCCGTGAGCGGTCAGTGCCTCGGAAGTTAGGTGCTAGCTTCTTTCGCGATGTCAACACACGATAGCGGGTGGTGCCACTGTAGAGGGTCGCGTGTTTGGAGGCAACAATACGCGACGCGACTGGGGAAACGCAGGTGGTGTGGAGGTGTCCAGATGCAGGCCATCGTAGAAGGGCCTTGGAAACCACGGCGAGATATGACGGGTGCAATGTTTAATGTCTAACGCATGAATGTGGCGTCTAGCGGGTCCTAGCGTGCTCCCCACGCGCTGGTGTCGTTGCCGTGGGGATCGCCCGCCATGTCCGCGACGTAAACACAAAGTATGCCGGACATGTGCCTCATCGCCTCCCCAAATATGCCCGCCATCCTTCTGCTATAGACAACCCACGTTTCAAGCCTTCTCTTCCCGGCCCCGACCTCAGTCGACGCTTCCCCAATTCCTATCTTGTTGGAGCATCATCATGTCGACGCCGGACATGGCCACCGCCGCACCTTCGCATAGACGGAACCGGAGCGCTGCAGCTGGAGTGCTCAAGTCTATCATCGCGAACAAAGGTCACAAGCGTTCGCCGACCGAGGGCGCTGGGCTGCACAACAACACCCAAATAGCCAGCCCGCCGTACATGCCTGTCTCCCAGTTCCAGGCGCCGCTCCTGCCGCCAGACCACCCCCATAGCCAATTGCGCGCGGCAACCCAGACGGAGAACGTCCCCACCAATCCGCCGTCACCGCGCAAGTCGCGAGACGTCAATTCGAGTCCCAAAAAGAGCCTGCACAAGAAGACGCTCAGTTCCGTCTCGCTGCGGTCACTGGCCAAGAAGGAGAACAAGGAGGAGAAGGAGAAGCCCGCCTACAAGAAGTCATTCGACTCGCGGCGATCTCAGGAAGAGGCCGAGATGGGCGAGAAGCCGAAGAAGACAAAGTCTTCGACCAATCTGGCTGCCATGTTCGGCGGGCGCCGGAGAGACAAGTCACCTGTGAAGGAGAGCAGAGACAAGGAGAACACCACACCACCCCGCTCTTCCCATGACAAGGCCCCACCTCGCACTCCCATCTGGGCCGAGTTCAGTTCCCAACAGGAAGTCACCACCACGAGCAAGGTCCCGCTTAACGATCAGCGACGGAGCGTCGAGGAGGAGATTGCCCTCTACACTCCCCAGGACTACTCGCCCACCAAGCAGCGCAACTTCTTTGAGGTCGGCCAACCAGCTCTCCGGCCTGCGCCGAAAGAGCGGCCCAAGTCCATGTTTGCTCCCAAGTCGACTTCCACGGCATCCTTGCTTGAGACCTTCTCGCGCAAGCGGAGCAACGAGCGCGTTCCTCTATCAGACACCAAGGGCAACGAGGGACGCACAAGGGAGAGCTCTCCTACAAAGCCGGCGAGACCCGTACTCAGTAGGGCTAGTACCGACACCGGCAGCAAGGACTACAGTCTCAATCCCATGGCGCCCCCGCCGCCGCCAGCCACAACCAAGAAGCAGAACCGAGTCATGGCTGCCGTTGCTGCCTTCAACGGAAAGTCCAAGCAAGCTGACGGCGCTCCGGCGTCTGCCAAGCTCGACCCAAAGGCGGTAGACGCCGAGTTCGAGGAGGTTCTGGTAAGTGCTGTCTGAAGAAACGAATGAATACCTACTAATGATACCAGGAATCTCGAAATATCCCCACACATCAACGTGCTCAGATGCGGACACTGAAGCTCGAGGTCAAGGCCGACTTTGTTCGCATGCACAAACTCGACATACCCCAGACTTCGCGAACAAACTCCGCTCAGTCTTCCATTGGCGAGAACACCAAGCAGGCACCACACAAGTCGTCCAAGTCCCGACACGGATCTGCTGTCGAGGATGCACAAGATGAGGCGGAAGAGGACAAGTCAGCCAACTCTACTAAGCGTGAGCGACCGCGGAGCCGAACGTTTACCTTCAACAGGAGTGACTCTCCCACGAAGAAGCAGAAGGGCGAATCGGGCGAACGGAAGACGAACTCAAAACCAGCGCCTATCCCCAAGTCTCCGTCTATGCGGTCCCTGAGATCCAATGCTTCCGATCGTTCTGTGTCCAATGGAGCGAAATCGGTCAAGGCCGACGAGTTCATCTCCTACTTGAAGAAGACGCCTAAGCCACAGAACGTCGAAGTTGGCAAGCTGCACAAGCTGCGTCTGTTGATCCGTAACGAGACCGTCGACTGGGTTGACAACTTCATCCAGGATGGTGGTATGACTGAGCTGGTCGCGTTGCTCCACCGCATCATGGAGATTGAATGGCGCGAAGACCACGAAGACACACTTCTGCACGAACTCCTTCGGTGTCTCAAGGGACTCTGCACAACTGCCACAGCTCTCAAGCAGCTCAACGAGATCTCGTCGACACTGTATCCAGCATTACTGGCCATGCTTTTCGACGAAGAGCACAAAGGTCCGAGCGAGTTTACTACGCGTGAACTCATCATCGAGATCATCTTCGCTCACATCTCCATGGCACCAGAGGGCGAGCTGGAGACCCGCGCTAAGGAGCTGATGAAGTACCTCAAAGACCCTGTCAAGGAGAAGCAGGCTTCAACTGTTCCGTTCATCCTCCAGATGCACACACAGCGGCCTTACCAGGTCTGGTGCAAAGAGCTGTCCAACGTGACCAAAGAAGTCTTCTGGATCTTCATTCACCATCTCAACGTCATTCCCGTCCCCCCCAAGCCTACGGAGGGAAAGTCGTACGCGAAAACCCACTTCCCAGGTCAACGCGCCATTGTGCCCGCAGCACCCTACGTCGGCGGCGTAGAATGGGACGCAACCAACTACCTTGCCACACACATCGACCTCCTCAACGGCATCATGGCCTCCCTGCCCACCCGCACCGCACGCAACGAGTTCCGCTCCGAACTCAAGATCTCAGGCTTCGAGAAGCTGCTCGGTCATCTCCGCGCCTGTAACCCCAAGTACTATGGCGCTGTCCACGACAGCGTCAAAGTCTGGATCGGCGCCGCCCTCGAAGACGACTGGGACGTCAAGACTGTGCGCATGGGTGCTGGTGATGGCAAGGGCGGTAGCGTAAGCCCAGCCAAGCAGAGCCCGAAGAAGAAGACGGAACCTCCTCCACAGCTCATGGCACCGCCTAAGATGGATGTCGGGCTTGGTCTTGGACTGGGCTTTGAGCGGGAGATTGCCATTGGCAGTACGAACAAAGTGGACGATGACTGGATTTGAGGAGTTCGACTTCGCCATCTGTCCGACATCTACTACCACTTGGATACCAGCCTGATATCTCGTACCCAACAGCCACTCTCGACCATCTCCTCCTTTGGATGACCAACTGCTTCGACCCACTATCACCCCAGCAAACCCATCAACATTGCTTTCACCACCGGCGCAAACACGGATACAACGGCGTTCATCACCTCTCCACTGCATTCCATCTCACATCGTCACATCGTCAAATCAACATCAAATCACAGCATGCAACTTATCCTTTCCATCTCCCACCCCCATTGGATCTCTTTCACGACACTCTCTCTTTGGCATTCCTGGGGTCCTGAACGAACATCTCTCCCTCTTTCACATCACGACCTTAGCATATGACATGACTCTCACGACCGACACGGCGGGGCAACGACACGCTGTGTTTTACTTCCTTCCTACCTTCTTTCCGACACAGATACATGAATGGAACGCGTGTATAGTGTATACATGTACTTGTTATTGCGCTCCTCCTTTTTATTGTTTATGCGCAATGTTTGAGATGCATGGGTATGGGCTGGGGGCGTATAATGTTTGGTTGGGGAGTCTTGGGTAATCTCTAGTTTTGAGAATACAGATCGTCTATCTTCTTTGCTTGGCTTTTTTATGATGGATGTGATACAAGTCCTAACCAGGACTCTATTCAACGTTCTAAGTGGGTATCTGATGTCTGACAACTGCAACTCCGTCATCCCAGGCCATAGCCATGACCACGCCAATGCCGCTAAATGATAAACTCCACACAAATGCCTCAACCCTCGCACTCTTCGTAAGTCATAGCCCATACCATATCAAGCCTTCTTCTTCCCCTTCCTCCTCCCCTTCTTCTCACCCACCTCCACGGTCCCACCCTCAACCTCACCCTCCTGCAACCCCATAACCTCATTCCCCTGCATCTCCTTCAGTTTCTCCTGGCCACTGATAAAGAAGCTCAAATCACGATTCTGCTCCTCAAGATCCGCCTTCTGGGCCTCAAGCTCCTTGACCTTATGCTCAGCCTCCTCCGCCTTCTTCTCCAAATGCTTAATCCGCTCCATCAAGCTCTCATTCACAATCTGCTCTTCTTTGTATTGCTTTGTGAGTTTGCGGGCGAGGTCAGACGCGGACGTTGCCTTTTGGGCGTTGCGCGCGGATTCGCGGGTGAGGGAGGCGATGGTGGTCGTTGCTTGAGACTGGGAGGTGGAGAGCTGGTCGAGTTTTTGGGAGAGCGAGGCGACGGATCGGGTCGCTTCATCGGCGGTTGAGGCGGCTTTTGCTGCTTTGTCGACTGCGCGTTCGAGCTGTTCCTCAAAGTATGCGCGTTGAGATTCGAGCTGCGAGGTGAGCAGGTAGGCGTACTCCATGCCCATGTTATCGAGCTTTTCGCGTGGGACGGTGTCGTTGGAGTAGCCGGTCATGCCGGGTGCGCTGAAGGATTGGTTCGAGGCGGGCATGTCGACAAGTTTGCCGTCTGCTTTGTTTTGGATTAGGCGGTGGACGTAGCCGTCGCCTGCATAGTCCCAGACGTGTTGGGTTACCACGTCCATTGCGTAGGTATGGCTTGTTGCTTCGTAGTGAGCGAATGCGTGT